GATGTTAAGCCGTAACTCTAGGTGCTTAAATACTTAGGACTAAAGAATCTTAGGACGCGCGGTGAGGCTGTGAGTTTATCTATCATTGTCAGCTTAATTCTCCTCACTCTATCATGTGCTTAGCTTAAGAGTTCCCCATAATTATAGCATCAAAGTAAGGATGCGAACCCCTAACTTACCGTTACGATCGGTACTGATCCTATAAACACCGGAATGACGCCAACAAGGAACCAGTCGAGAACCCCCGAGCCTCCTACCCAAGATTCGTTAACCCAGAACCTACAACAGCTGACTCAGGTTGCCCAGACGTTGAGCAACACCATCCTTAATAACAACAACCGACTACCCCCAAACGGGAACCCAGACGTGGCTCGCCAAGCCTCGAGCCATCACTCACCTATCTTCGCAAGGGAAAAAGATCCTACAACCCTCGAGGAATGGATCCTAACGTTTGACAAGATCTTTGAAGTAGTGGAATACCTGGAAAGACGCCGTGTGGAACTAGCCTCGTTCTACTTCAGATATAAGGCTGATCTTTGGTGGGTTCACGAGGGACTGCCTATAGGCAAGAACCAGGATTCAACTGGGAAGCCCTGAAGGCTTGGTTACGGGAAATTTCTACCCTGCGCATGTAAGGGCAGCCATGTACGCAGAATTCCTCCACTTGAAACAGGGGATAACTATAGTGGTGGAATACCACAAACGATTCTTCGAACTAGCTCGCTTCGTACCTGAATTGGTACCCACAGAGGCGACTAAAGTAGAGAAGTTTGTGGCGGGTCTCAACTTCGAAGCTCAGAAGGCTCTAACCATAAGTAAGCCCAGAACCCTCCACGAGGCTTACGCTAGCGCCACCAACCTTCACCGAATCCCAACTTCTACAACGGAGAGTTCAGGACCAGATCCGGAAAAGGTGTAATGAAAGTTGGAGACCACTTGTAAAGGGAACTAGAACGCCAATTAAATGCAAGAAAGTGAAGTAGCGCATGAACAACACCTTTGCTTAATCTTTAGTGCGAGTTAAGTATATCATGTTGACTTATGAACCCTTTGCCTCAGCTTAAAATATTATTCACCCTTGAATCCTAGCCTCTCGACATTCCTAATTGTTGAAACCCTTGCCTCGAATCCTTGGTTATCCTTGAAAGCAATCAAACACCCGTTATGCCTTTACTTACTCTTTGTTGCATCTAATTCATCCTTGGAAACCCTAAATCGTTATGAGCTTGGAATCATTGCCATTGCTCTAAATTTGTATTCCTCTCTTTTAAACCCTTGCTAAAACTCTACAAGTGGTGTAAACCCCTTGCTCTGTCTAAATGGTGTGAAGATTGATGCTTATTAGGTTGGTGTTAAGATAGTTGTTAAAAAGGACTCGGCGTGTTAAGCAGAGACGGCAGACGCGTAGAAAGTACCGTGCACTAAGCTTCACTGCAATGAAGATCTTACTTTGGAATAAGGACCTTGATGGTTTTAAGGCACCGTAAGAAGCACATGCTACACACAAAATTGCCAAACGTCATGCGACGTCGAGAACAGTTAACCAATTGCATTCCAAGAAAGAGAAAGACATCACTAAGCATTTGGTCGCTATGGGATTAAATGGGACCGGACGACAAGCCAAACTTCAAGAAAGACCAAATGGGGGGCTTGTCATTAACCATGACAAGGAAAAGACAAAGGCTGGAATACAGTCAGCTACCTTATGAAGATTCCAAGATTTGTTAACTGTGAACAGGACTCCACCTATTGAGCAATTAAAGGCATGCGAGAATCCTTGGAGTAAGAGACAATGGATCGCCCTAAGGTGTTAACCTTGGTAAACGACCTGGGCCCACGTCCCGTTTTCAAAAGGTACTATCAATTCCGTTAGTTGTGAAAGTTACAGTTGAACCGTACGATTCAACCAACTGTGAAGGGTTGACACAAAAAATCGTGTAAACCAAGAAGTCGAGTTGAGAACTCGTGCTACGGACTTACAAGGACCTCAAGATAAACACCAAGGATGGTCCAAGTTTCCCACAACCACGGTTATTGTTCGAGTAGTCAAAGGACCCCCCTTACGAAGTTTTGTAAATAGCAAGACTGCCGAAACCTACGGTGCAAGCCTATTCCAGTCCTTAGCCCTTTTGTTTACCTCACTAAAGATCCCTGAATCCGTATAGAATAAACGAGGTATCCTTTCGTCTAAGGAGAACGAAAGAAGACAATTAAAGACTAAGAAACATTCCTTATCGTAGATCTCGTGCGTCCATTCTAGAATCATACATTTACGGGAGGTGTAAGGAACACTTTGTTATCAAGACCTCAATGACTTTAAAGATAAACAAGGAAATAGAACATCTCATGCGGATCACCAAGTCATCCCGTGATGAGAGACAATAAATGACTGCGTCCCAACAAAGAGAAAAGTGTGTCAAGTGCTCTCAATACTAAAAATATCACCAAAAAGGGCGCAACAAACCAAATCTCAGAGAGGACATGAAGTCTTGCTAAGAATTTCATCCACCAAGGAAGAGATGGAATTCAATAAAACAAGGAAGTCAACCCAAAGTTCCTTGATCCTTAGAAAACCTCAGCAAGAATCGAGAGTCAAGACCTAACCGACTAGGTCCAGACTTTTGAGCATTCTAGGGGAATATGCACAGAATTCATCACGAGAATTCCTTTAAAAGCAGTAAAGATGGATGAGGCTGGAGGGGCGGCAGTGGCGTGGTGTGGCGTCCGCCTGGAGCTGCAACGAAGGGCGTCGGATTCTCGTGTTTGGCGTGGTGTGGCGGTGGTGGCGTCATTTTGCCCAGGTGGCGGGCGACACGGCGAAGGGCGGAAGGGGGAAGGCGGAGGCAGCGGGTTCTCGGCGGTGCTTGGCCGGACAGTGGACGGGTCGTGGCCGTGTGGTCGACGGCTATTGTGGGGGTGTCTCGGCTAGAGTGGCGGGGAGTGAGGGAAAGAAAGAGAGAGAGAGAGAGAGAGAGAGAGAGAGAGAGAGAGAGAATGGGAGGAAGAAGTGTTTTTGATTTGGGGATTTTGTGGGTTTTAGGGATTTGGAGGGGGTTAAGAAGGTTGTGTCCCCTTAGGGTTTTAAGAGACAATTGTAGTTCAATGGTTAAGGTATTGGTTTAGGAATGAGAGGTCCAAGGGTTGATTTCTATTAGCTACATTAGGTTTGTTAATGCACTCTTTTATGATTTTGAGGACTTCCTATTATTCGTTTGATCCGAGGTGGCAAGAGTTTCGATTAGGTTCTCTAGTCGTATCCTTTGGTTTCAGGATTTGTAGATTATAGAAGGCATGAACTTTAACCCTTTAATTAATCCGAGGGGCGGTAGTAAGAGGAATTTAAGCTGATTGAACTAATTAACTTTGGCTTTTATTCAAAAGTACAGGAACTCTAAATAATCGAACTAAGTAAGCGATTCTACTAAAAGGTAGTTTACAAGGGTTCATAGTTTGCCTACCCTAAACAGAATTCTTCTTCCGGATTCTCTTCCAGTTGGTTTGTGGGTCCTCATCTCCTAGAGCCACGTCCTCCGTGTCGATCCCGGCTTTGGCTTCGAGGTCGGCATGGGTGCGGCTAATGACGAATACCTTTCCGGGTGCCCCGTAATTCCCCCGATTATTCGCGTTCCCTTGTTAGGCCATAACCGTAGGCTTCGTACTTGGGGTTTGAGTGCATTGGAAGGCCTTATGTCCTTCTCCCCTGCAGTTGAAGCATCGTAAGGCATTTCCGTGGCAGTCCTTGCCCCTATGGTCCTTATTACATTTTATGCATAGGAATTGCCTTGCGTTGGTTTCGTTGTACCTCATGGACGACCCTTGATTACGTGGGTTAATCGTCCTTGTGTTAGAGTCGCTCCTTGCTCTTTTCACAGGCGGTCCCCCACTCCCGGTATTCATCTTGCGAATTTGTTCTTGAACTCCTCGTTGTAGAAGTTGGATTCGGTAAATGTCGGTGGCGCTGGTGTAAGCCTCATTAAGGGTTCTGGGCTTACTTACGATTAGAGCCTTTCGAGCTTCGAAGTTGAGACCCGTCACAAACTTCTCTATTTTGGTCGTCTCTGTAGGCACCAATTCAGGTGCAAAACGAGCTAGCTCAAGAAATCATTTGTGGTATTCCATTACAAGGCCATCCCCTGTTTCAGGTGGAGGAATTCTTCGTACATGGCTGCCCTTATGTGTGCGGGGTAGAACCGTCCCCGTAGTCGTGCCTTTAGGGATTCCCAGTTGAATCCCGGTTCTTGCCTGCAAGCAGGTCCTTCGTGAACCCACCAAAGATCGGCCTCGTGTCCGAAATAGAACGAGGTTAAATCCACACGACGTCCTTCCGGGCATTCCACTACCTCGAAGATCTTATCGAATGTTCGGATCCATTCCTCGAGGGTCGTGGGATCTTATTCTCCTGAGAAGATAGGCAGGCGATGGCTTGAGACTTGGCGAGCTACATCTGAGTGTCCGTTCAGCGGTGGTAGTCGGTTGTTGTTATGGAGGATGGCGTCGCTCAGTGTCTGGGCGGCCTAAGTCAGTTGCTGTAGGTTCTGAGATAGTGATTCTGGGGTAGAGGGTTCAGGGGTCCTTGACTGATTCCTTGTTGGTGCCATTCTGGTATCTACAGGACCAACATTGATCGTAATGGTAAGTTAGGGGTTCACATCCTTACCTTGATGTTATAATTACGGGGAATTCTTAAGCTAAGCACAGAATAAAGTGAGGAGAAGTTAAGCAAACAATGATAGATAAACTCACAGCCTTACCGCACGTTCTAAGATTCTAAGTCCTAAGTGTTTAAGCACTTAGAGTTAAAGCTTAACATCTTAAAGTCTCAAACTTAGAGTACCATCCTAGGTGCAACCTAGATTCCTAAAGTCTAGCTCTTAACATCCCAAGTATGTAAGTACCTAGAGTTCAAGCTTAATGTCCCTAAGTCTTATCCTAAAGGCATTGTCCTAGGGTCGAACTTAGGGCCGATCTTCTATGGTGAATTCCACTTCATCAATCTTGGTATCCAGATCTTCTATGGTACATAAGAAAGCCTCACATCCCTTACTTAAGTATTTCTTCATCTTCATCATGGATACCAGTTTGATTTCTGGGTTCTTGACGGAGCCGCGGTAAGATACCTGTTTCCCGTTTGGGCCTTTCAAAATTATTTTCTATTCGCCACACAAGATTTGGGCTTTGAATTGCCCCAGCCAATCCATTCCCAAAATTACTTGTATACCGTCTAGCCTAAACTGGATCAAGTTACTAGGGAATCCCACTCCGCCTATGGCGATCATGACTCCCTTGAACATACGATCACATTTTTTAACACTTCTCCGGATGCTACCTTGACCCTTAACTGTACCCTGGTGCTTGCTGTCAAACTGAGCTTTACTGCAAACTAGGCGGCTATGAACGAGTTGGTGGCTCTTGAGTCAAACAGCGCAACGGCAGGCATGGAATGTAAAAGGAATGTTCCGGTTACCACATCGATGTCTCCGATTCGGGCCTTACGCATGGCGAGAATTCTTCTCTGGGCGACCTCAGTCTCGTCCTTTGGAATCCGAGCCATCGAGGTACCCAGAGTCGGGGGTGGGACAATCCTAGCAGCCTTAAGTTTATTTGGAGGGATCACCAAGCTTTCCTTGATCTTCCTTTTATTCGTTTTGGGGACCCCACGGGGAATGCGTTGTATCCGATCGAGTTCGGCTGCCTTGGTGTAGGCTTCATTGATTGTTCTCGGTTTGTTTACGATCAAGGATTTTCTAGCCTCAAAGGTGAGTCCCGCAATGAACCTTTCCACCCTCGTTGCCTCCGTAGGAGTTAATACTTGCGTGAAACGAGCCAGCTCTAGGAATACCTTGTTGTACTCCATCACTGTGGTGAATCCCTATTTTAGGTGGAGGAATTCTTCATACGTGGCTGCTCTTACGTGTGTGGGATAGAAGCGTTCCCGTAACTGGGCTTTTAAGGTTCCCTAGTTGAAGCCTAGTTCTTGCCCAAGGGCCGGGCCTTCATAGACCCACCAAAAGTCGGCCTCATGTCCAAGGTAGATCGTTGCCAGTTCGACTCGTCGTTCCTCCGGGCAATCTTCTGCCTCGAAGATCTTATCGAACGTTCGGATCTATTCTTCGAGTATTGTAGGATCTTCTTCCTCGACGAAGATAGGGGGCGATGGTTCGATACTTGGCGGGCTATATCGTGGCTGCCGTTTGATGGCGGACGGTTGTTGTTGTTAAGGATGGTGTTACTCAATGATTGGGCGATCAGGGTTAATTGTTGTAAATTCTGGGTCAACAGGTCGCTAGCGGGTGTCTCAGTGGTCCTCTTATGGTTTAGTGGTGCCATTTCAAATTCTACAGGGTTAACATCGGTCATAGATGTAGGTCAAGAATATACACCCTAACCTGAGTGCTTTAACTACAGGAACTTTAAACTAAGCAAGGAGCAAGTCAAGGGGAATATTAAACAGAAAGCGATAAGTAAACTCACAATCTCACCGCGCATCTTAGTATCTGCTTATCCTAAGTACTTAAACACCTAGATATTTCAGCCTAATATCTTAAAGTCCTGTCCTAAAGACATTGTCCTAGAGCCGAACTTAGGCTCTGATACTAACTATAACACCCCTAATTTTTTAAAACATTTAAAGCTTAAACAATAAGATGAAACTATCATTAATACCCAACAGAGCGGAAGCTAACAACATAAGTATCGGGGTGCTATGCCACATCTAAGTCTGATGACCTAGATGCATAGGCCAAAACCAACTAAACTAGCATCATCCACAATTGATATTCAAATACAGTCAAGGCACACAAGCCATCTAAACTAAGACTAGAACTAACTATAGCTAAGTCCACGGTCCATCTAGCGCGCTCCGAAGCTACTGGTCAGTACCTGAAAAACATACGGTGTAACAACCATCAGCGAATAATGCTGAGTAACCCACTGCCACGCATTGAGTACAATATAGGTACATATAAGAAAACCATTTTGAGACTCGGGGATACATATATAGCCCTAAACAACTCTAGCTTAAAAACCAAAACCAAGACTCGAGGCATACCAATAGACTTAACAATATAAAAACACATAAAGGTACTAACATGCATCCTAAGACCATAAGTTAAGACAATAACAAGACTCAAACTCCATTCGCAGATCTGTTTCGCCAAAACAAGGCACAATATCACTCCAAGGGTACTGCAACACTGCACTCCAAAGTGCTGCAGCCCATAATGCATCAAAGGAACTGTAACACCACACTCCAAAAGTACTACAGCCCACCGCATGCCAAAAGGTCCTGCAACACCACACTCCAAAAGTACTGCAACCTATCATAACCCAGATACTGCAGCACCACACTCCAAAGATACTGCAGCCCGTAAAACCAATGGTACTGCAACACCACACTCCAAAGGTATTGCAGCCCATCATAACCAAGGGTATCGCAACACCACACTCCAAAAGCACTGCGGCCCCACCAGATCTGCCTTTCCAACACAATAGCACACAACACACTACAATACTTCAACAAGGGATAGTAAGAGGGAAGGATACAACAAGCACATAGACTCGGGAATCACTTAGACTCTACTTCCAACGACCACCAGGCAACCACAAGACTCCTATGGGAACATACAAACCTCATCCTAGGCCAACGGGATACCAACTTAAACCATATACAATACCCATGGTTCACAAATCCTAATTCGGTATCCACGACATCAAACTAGACTCACGAACACCAAATGGGCACAACGGGACATGGGGGAAAAACGACACACTAACCCGCCCGTACTTGCGGGTGGAACGGCGGGTGGACAACCACCTGCTGGTGGACGGCCTTGTACGAACGGGTACACCTGCGGGTGGTCGTCGACCCGCCGGCCACCTGCTGGTACGGTGTCCCGTACTGGCGGGTGGTCAGGTGGGGGTTCGTTCCGCCATCGACTACCCGCTGGTACGAAGGTTCTTGGCTTATTTTCTCAACCCAGGAATTCATCAAACTTACCCAAAATCAAGTCCAAACACATCCCAACACGCATAAACAATAACAAGGACTTGAATACCAAGAATAAGCCAAGAAACAACACAATTACACCCTAGGCACAAGCCCTAAACATGCCAAGACTCAAGACCAAACATATAATCGTTCAAGAGCATCAAGAACCTCAAGAACCCACTATATAAAACCCTAAAGACAAGCTCTAAACGTAATTAAATACAAGAACATGCAAACCACCATGCAAGATCATCAAGAATATCAACAATAACAAGAATAACACTGAGTGTAACAAGCCGTGTTAACAGCTTCTGCCCAAAATCTCTTAGGTAAGCCAGAATAAGAAATCATGGTTCGAGCTGCTTCCTTAAGAGTTCGGTTTCTTCTTTCAGCAACCCCGTTTAGTTGTGGGGTTCTTGGTGCTGAAAGTTGATGCAAAATCCCATATAGACCACATAAATCTTTTGTGACATGATTCACAAATTCAGTTCCTTGATCAGATAGAATTTTAACGATGTTCATCCCTTTTTTTAGTCTCAAGTTATCTCAACAACTCGGGTAACAACTTCTCAGTTTCGTTTTTCTTTTTCAAGAATAAAGTCCATGTGTATCGAGAGTAGTCATCTACTACTACAAGTGTGTATTTTCGTCCACTCAGACTTGCTGGATCAATTGGACCAAATAGATCCATGTGTAGAAGATTTAGAGGTCTTGAATTAGTATCAATACTCTTTGATTTGAAGGATGCTTTTATTTGCTTGCCCTTCTGGCATGCTTCACAGATTTTATCCTTATTAAAGGATATCTTTGGTAGACCTTCCACCAGTTATTCTCAGGCTAGTTTCCAATGGTTTTGAAATTGAGATGGTTAAACTTGTTATGCCATTCCCAACTCAAGTCATTGTCTCTTTTAGCAACCAGAAAAACATTCAATTTTGATGACTTCCAAATGACCACATACATATTCTTTTGTCTTTTGGCTGACAAGATTTGTAACACCCCCCAAACAAGACCTATATAAAAAACCTTAACACATGTATATTAAACAACAAAACTAGCACAGCGGAAGATAAAACGAGAACTGGATAAAAGAAATCCAAACGGGGTGTCACGCCACGTCTACCAAACACGGTAAACGCTACGGCAAACAATCTGCAAGTGTATACATCTATCCCAAAAACATCAGTCTAAAACTACATTGGCGCACAGGCCACAAAACAAGGATGATGGTACTAAGCTACCAGGCACTAGACATCCCGCTCGTCTAAACATCACCTGAAAGATACAAAGATAAACATTGGGATGACGCCCGGTCAGCGATAATTGCTGGTAACCCACCAATACATGTGAAATATCATACATAGATAGATATAAGTTGTAAAACCATTTTCGAAACGGAATACATAAGTATATAAGTCAAAAACCAAGATCAACAGTCAACACAAGACTCATCACTCACAAGGATAACACGGGGACACATCCCAAACCACAAAGGTTAACCACAACGCAAAGGATAAAGACAAGACCGATGGCAACACATGCCAAAACAACACATGCTTATGTGACTACACACGTCACGAGAGAAGAACACACAACACCGGCTATACTAGCCCTCGCAACATCACCCATCACGAGTTGATATGCCTTCCTTATGCCCTGTTCCAACCTTATGGCTACCCCCAACCTTATATCTTCTTCCAACCATTACCTCCAGGACCCCTGTACAGCCAAGTCAAACCTTATTCCCCTGGGACCGTCGTCCCCAACCAACGACCACCAACGAGACCACCAATTCATAGTACACAAGGTACCGTACACGACAACACATGCCCGGATAACACATGTTATCCCCCAAAAACGTGAACCTTACACAAAGGCCACAACTCCATAATCACGTCACGGCCACCACGAGGACCGCTGCAATACCTTGGTGACTAGTGTCCCATATCACTAATCGTGCAATCCAGGTAAAGCCACACACGCACCACAACTCAACAAGAGTCAAACAACGGATCACAACGAAG